TTGAATATACACATATTCAACTGTTCTATGTATATAATAGTGGTGTTTGTCAAATTAAAAGTCGCTGTCAACTCGTTGATCTTTCTAAAAATAAGAACAGAAAGATTACTATGATGAAAACGACACTAAAAAGAGTGGTATGTGTTATCTTTTCTGATATACACAGTGTATAACATACATCATGTACAGAATACAAAATACTTGAAGATTCTACTTAAAACAATGAATTTTTTCTATTCAAAAGGCGAAATCAAGTCATTTTCATACATGAATATGAATATGAGAGATAAAAGATATAAAGCTAGAAGTTATTCCCTACAGTAAAAAACAGCATAAAAACAAAAACAAGATAACATAATTTGAGTACTTTCTCTGAGCCGATTAAAAAGTTCGTTTTTCATATCAAAGCTCTGAGGTAATAGTAATGATTGCGTGCTATAAAATGTGTATGCCATGTCTGGTGATCATATACATGAGAAATAAAAGTCATACCTAGATGTCAAATAATCATGTATGACAAGATATTTCCGTCTTATCACATATCATGAAAATGTAACAATATAGGTTAAATAAAATCCAGATACATATCAAATTCTTTTGTATTTTCTTCACTGCTGCACGTAAATGTGATCACTTTTTATGAGGTGACAAGACAAATTTCTTAATATATTTTTGAGCTTTTTTCTCATTTTTCATGCGCTAATCTACATGGAATGTTTGACTACATATAACAATGCAACACTGGTATCAAATAACGATGACTAAAACTTCGGTATGTTAAATATAAAAATTCATGTTTTTAGTGGTCGTTGTTATAATGATAAGCTCAGAGATAATACTAATCTTCATGAATAGGATGTAGAACTTTTTACAATTTCATAAGCACACATGAATAATAAGTTTTCAAGTTATTGTCTCTATTTTACGTAAGTTACAGATGCAAACACTTGTGTTACTCGGCCCTGTATAGTTCAAATGTCAAACTTTGTGATAATAATGTTTCAGTCGGTGCAGCGCATCTTTCGTCCTCTTTGTGTGTTTTGTTACCAAGCTGCTTCAATCCACAAGCACAGTTTGCAATGTCTATTGGTCTATTACAGTGTGTTTGACTATAAAAATACTATCTATTATTCTAAAAATCGAAACTCGTAGAGCATTATATATATTCTCTAATGCATACTTCTTCAGTATTATTTATCTAATCAATGATACAATCATTTTGCTATTGTTCAAAGGCTTAGCTTTTCACTTAATAATAGTCATTCTTTTATGCTAAAGAAGATAATTTTCTTTTCATTTCTGCTGCCTCTTCTATTTTTGACCGTTGTCACTTCATTTAATCATGAATCAAATAATAAAGAATAGTGTTGATGTTGAGATGAATAGATGATAAATGCATCATCATCATCATATGGCTGTGTTTCTGAATAATTCTCAAGTAAAAAGCTAGTCTTTTTGAAAATATTTTGTAGAAAAGACATCCAGTATGTAGATTTATCTCCGTAGGTACATTCTTTTTTGCCCATCTCATATATTCGTGTGACTAATGAACATATAATTTGAGATTTGAATTGTTCGTGGAATAAAATACTGTAAGTTTCAAACAATTACAGCAGAAAAATGATTTATGAAGCAAGTAAAGTAAGTTGAAAAGAATACTTTAATATTCGAAAATCTCTGGCGTGGATTCAAGTAAAATCTGATCACTCTACTTTCATTCAGAGTTGTGTTTTGCTCTCCTAAAGCTATATCAGGAACATCGACAGCATGATGGAAGCTTTTTATATTGTCATTTTTCCTTCAGACTATATTCGTACTTGCTCTATCAAAGATACTCAACTACTGTTGAAGGAGTGTAAGTCAATGTGCAGTGAGGAAGAAAAAAAAGAATTTTTGTGAAGTTTTTTGTGAATCGCGAATGCGTCTTATCGAGAATCTTAATCGCATCTCTGAAAACTCTTACACAAAGTAACTTTTATCTTGGTTAGATCTAGGCAGGATTCGAGTAAGTTTCTAACCAGGGTATTGCATCCATATATATATCAACTAGAAAATTTTATTATAAGCACGAATGGTCACACGCGTTTTTCTTTCGTTTTTGGAAAAAGTACGTAGAAAAGCGTCTAGACTTGCATTTTCTATGTGGAAAAGATAAATAAAATACTTCCATTGAACGAAAGACGCACGTGAATGTTTCTTGATTCTAAGACGCCTTCACACACACTACGAGGATCGGGTTAAAAACTGAGCGTGCTTAGGCCCGTGTAATTCTTCTTCAACGATAATCGCACCTAGACTCATTTGTGAGTAACATATTCGTTTTTTCGCATGATCAGAGAGCCCTAAGTAATGTACGTAATCGACACAGTATTACTCTTTCATTGAAATGATATGTTTATACGTCGACGAATATACCCTACATGTCACTACAAATGCTTGTCAAATATAACATAGTCGAAAGAAAATATGTTAGTGATTTGCATAGACATTCTACGGTTTGAGAACACGATAAAAAGAGATTTCGAATTTAAAAAGTCTGAACTGTGCATCACGTGTGCGTGTTGCAAAAATTCTAAATCTTTTACAGTTTTAGTCAATTGCCTAGAAGGGATGAATTACATCACTACACTTGTTTCTAGTGCCTTTAATAATATTTCTATGCATAGTGTAACAGAACAAAGTGTTCTCCTCACAATGAGACCACTTCAAAAACATTTTTTAATGTTTTTTTGCAGAGATAGGAATATTATCGCGAATGTCCTGCAAAAAGTGACTGGTTTAATGTTATCGGTAAATGGAAACAAATTCGTGGTTTTAATCCGGTCGCATTGTAACCCTCGAAAAAATGATCCCGAATCTTCAGATACTTCAAACTTTATTTCAGATTGTAAAGTTTTTTAAAACGTTTTCAGGGGTGAGAAGATTTTTAAAATCAAAATCCGACTTGTTATTGAGAGGGTTTGAAGTATCTATGGTAAATTAAACACGATGACGCATGTTCAACGTCAACGCTTATTTTCTTACTCTTGTGAGCAGAAATACAGGAAATGTTGCATTATTTTACAGGTACCGATGGCTTTCTGTAAGAGCTGTAAAAAGGTTTGAAGTATGATGTATCGTTCAAATACTACCGTTCATATAGCCGGTAATGTTATGACGTTCTTAACCATTTTCTTTAAACACATTTTTCAGATAGCTCAAAACCTGATATTTTGGGCTATTTGTACATCAGCTGTATTTTCATAATGAATCAACGTCTTCAGCCGAGCGACTTCTTGTTTTATAGAGAGATGTTCAATCTATTTAACTATCTATTTTAGTTAGTTAGATTAGTTTGTAGTTTTATTGCAAGAATTTTTTGAGAAATAGCACAAAAAAAGGATAACGTTATCCGAACGAGTTAGCCGTCCATGCAAAAACAGGTCAGAAAATTCTGCACAAAAATATATCGATTTTCTTTTTCGATGTTCTATCTCAGGTATTAATTTGGACTCGATCGAATTTTGTCTTGTACCTCTTTTAAGAGGAGAGAAAAAGAGAGGAAATATCCTTGATTTGAATTTATTAATCCATTTTTCAGGCACCTATTCTCACTAAGACAAATTTAACCTTATGTGAATTCGATTATTTTCAAACATGTTGGTGTTTTTCAAATTTATCATCCTCATCGTGTTCACTTTTATTACGGCATGTCATGTCAAATTCCAGTCATATATGTATGTGGCATATTATTCGAAAAACTATCGACTGTTTCGATCAATCAATATTAATACCATCATCTAAACGTTCTTCTGTGTTGTCCTCATCATTATTTTACAGGTATTCAACAATAATTTTATTTTTCATTGGTTTATGTGGAAATGGTTTTTCTATCGTCATTTTATTTCGTAAATCATTAAGAAAATTTTCTGTCTACAGAAGTCTATCTGTTATTTGTATTCTAAATATTTTTTATTTAATATTGATAGTCATTCGTCATAATAATATTTATAAAATTGATATACGTCTATTATCTGTTTCAATATGTCGTCTACATTCATTTCTTGTTGCTTATTTTGGTCATTTATGTTCATGGCAACTCTGTTCAATGTCGATTGAACGAGTACACGATCTACTGAGTTTAAAGCAGCGCCGTTCATCATCATGGTTACGTACATTTATTCAATTTTTATTATTTGCTATACCATTATGTTTATTTGATGCTCAATTGGTATTTAATTATGGTCTAAATTCAAAAATGAACAATTGTTATGCTAAAAGTAATACTCAAAATTATTTGTTCGATGGACAAAATGTCTCACATTATTTTCAACGGGCATTGAAATATCCAATAAATATAACACTGAATCAAACATTCAATAATTATCCGTCATCATCGACAGTAAACACAGTATTAGGCTGTGTTTCATGGAATATATATGATGCATTCATCTATGCTATTATTCCATTCACGATTATGACAATAGGTAGTGTTATTATTATTTTAAAAGTATGCCAAACACATCGAGCTACTGTAGTCTTTGGAAGAAGAAATAGACATAGTCAGACAAGATATACAATTTACGACAATCTTTCATTTATTCTTATTTCTATCAATATTTCATTTCTACTAATGACAAGTCCATTTAATTTTTATTTGATAATCAACGCGTTCAAATCGAGAAAATGTACTATTCAACATCAATTTATAAATGAATTATTACGAACAATACAAAATGCGTATCATGCACTAAATTTTTTCTTTTATTGTGTTGTGGGTAAAAAGTTTCGTGATGCATTTTTGTCTATTTATGCAAAATTTCAATTACGTCATTATCAAAGACCACGGTGTTGCTCTAATAGATCGCGTATGTCACGTGGAATTCAAATGTTGAATATAACGAATGACGATACAAAACATAAGCAAAATTTAAAACCGTCAAAAGTGTTTATTTAAAAATGAAAATATTAAAATGAAGTGAAATCAAATAAATTTTGTATGATTAAACGACGTTCGAAACAATAGAGAAGAAAATTGGTATTAGAATACTGGAAATGGAATGTGACAAGTGCAAATGCAATTTCCTCATCAATAACTAATATCAAAGCTCAGCAACAATGTTAAATACATCTTTTTTCTAAATAATAACAGCGAAATGCACTTGAATATAGAAGTATTGCAAATACTTCAACTATAAACTAATGCCTTTTGAAGTTAAAAAGCTTTATTAATTGGTGAAAAACTACAGTGATCTTTTAGGAGGCTACAATTAAGGATACGCCTCTTTTTTGGGGTTTCCGTAAAAATAAAGAAAGATCTAAAACAAAATTCAAAAAAAATACCGCTGCAATAGCATTTTGAGTACTTCTGGTAAAAGTTTAACTCGATCGGATGATATTTAAGGCAGATCGTAATGTCAGACAATGAAGCCTGGTAGCGAAAAAAAGTTTTCGAGAAAAATGCATTTTGTACACCGGTTACGTTTTTCAGAGCATTTACGGTGATGCTTATATCACGATAAAACTCATCGGAAAATTCTGGAAAACATCTCATTGAAGGAAACACTTTCTTCTATCAGACTACATGTAAGGAACGTTTTGAATGTACAGAAAAGGAGAGAAAACTTTATGAAATAAAAAAATTGAGTCTGTTTAGGTTTTGAAGGAGAAAGTTCAAAAATGTATAACTTTTTGATGAAAGATCGTGGAATGCTAGGAGTGGTCGCATTTTACAGCCCACACTTTCGTCTACATTAGGCTATGCTGAGCTCAAAATTCGAAAGTTTTTCAAAAAAGAGGGGTGGGGTACCCTAAAGTACAGTACTATGACTATGATATAAAATGACACTCACAAAATAAGTTTTAGCTTTTTATTTATAACCAGGGTAAGAAGAGGCAAAATACATTCAATAAATATTACAAGGTATAATTTTTCAGATTATGAATTAGCAATATCAAGTAGGTTTTAAATGAAAGTAAACACTCAATCTCATCAGATATATGCAGTGAATCTTTGTTTATACGTTTTTTGAATTTTTTACTATGTTGAAGTCCGAAGATACTTATCGGATTGTTAGTTTTACCTAGATTAGATTAGGATAAAAGTTTAAGATTTAAAATTTGCGTTTTTCCAAAGTTATCTCGAAAACAGCGGTCAAAAAGTGAGTGCTGTTATTTCCCAGATTTCTACTGCTTATTTTAAGTGCCAAAAGACTCCGGTTGATCTTCAAATGACGAGAAAGCTATGATTTCACAGAAACCGATTTTGAAAATTTGTTTTTAGTTACTTTTGTAGATGTTCTGTCCATTGACCGATTTGGTCAGTTTCTAATTTTAAAGAAAGATTTAAGCATTGAAACAAATCTTTCACAACATCTGTCAAGATACTCCACTCTTATACATCGGTTTCAAATCGAATTCATGATAATAACGACAAGTATAGTTGTCAATGGAAGCGACTCACACAAGCGTACAGTACAACAGATATAATTTGGTGCAGAATTTGTTAACCAATCTGCCTGAGCTCTCTCGTAAATACAATGAACACGACTAAATGCTACTGTCCATTTCAGAAGTAAATGGACTCAGTTGTACACTGAATGGACAGTCTTCAAATATGATAGCATCGCTTGTATCGATACCGCATGAATACCCGCAGTTAATACTAAATATTTCATCAAACAAATGAACACATATTATTGCGGTCCAACAAACTTCGGAATAATTCCCATCTGATCAACAACCTAGTACCGTTTGTTCGAATAGTGCTTCTGCATTCAGACAAACGTTTTGTATTTGTTTGACTTGCTAAAATCTCTGCAATCATCTATACAATAGCTGTTACAGCATGCAAACGCTTATTGAATAAAAAAATTTACAATTAGCCTCGTACCACCAAAACTAGCAAAATCAACCGGATAACACGAAAGGTATACCCTCACGGCCTTTTGTAACAACTAGCATGCTGCTTCGTGAAATACTACTGTAGAGAGTTTGAAGACGTCTCATTTTGTACTGAATTGTTTGCTCTTCAGGGCGGAGTTATTTGCAGACAATTTCTCGATCGATTTTGGTTTTTTAGACAATCCAGTTTCAGAAATTCAGACGGAACCTTCATTTTCCGACCAAGCTAGCGTGCTTAGCAGTCAAAAGATATATCACCTAGTGATGCTGTAGGTGCTTTGAGGACATAATTTTATCCGTATTGCACGCACAACTTAAAACGACATAAAAAATTTATCTGAAAACAATGACTTAATACGCAGTTAGAAGACGAAGCTGTTTCTAACATGAAAATAATGCCCCACAAATGTATTATGAATTAGAATCAATGTATTTTTTTCGCATGTTTTGCTCCTCGCATCACAGCCTTCATCAGAACACAAATTTCCTTCCCTAACTGGAACAAAACTATCAAGATGAAACACCTTTTTATAGCAGCAACATTATCTTTCATAGCAGTATCAGGTAGAACATATATTGCTGATTCCCATAACCACAATTCAGTCAAAACTCATAATGCGCACCAAGAATTCTTTCACACTCCTAACAAGGTAAAGCACGACAAACCAGCCGAAAACAAAATTTTTTCTGAAAAGCCCGAAAAAGACGAGGTTTCACTAGGTTACTCAGCAGAGAAAGATGACGCCAAAGCAGACGACGAACCGTCAGATCGCAACCAAAACGGAGGTACCGATCAAAAAACCATGCACCCAGCACGACATTTCAGGGGAAAGAAAATACCTTCTATATATATATACCATCATACCTTCTTCAACAATATAATAAATTTAATTAACAAAGCTGTACAAACTTTCTTGAAAATTCACCAAAGCAAAGTTTGCTGGTGCGCACGAAAAAAAGGCAAATGTAGTCTTTTCGCCATCTATATTTCATTCACCATACAACTGCACCACCATTACGGATGGCCATATTCTGGCCAACTGATACATTTTGCAGCACCTTGTTTAGATATCCTGGTTTTCGATAAACGGTCTGCTTTCCTGATAAGCCTTCCTCCCCCTTGCTTGGCGCGTAAACGATTTTCGGATGCGTATTATCATTTTCGACTGCATCCTTCTTTTGGGAATCGGTAACGAAGACCCTACCGAGCGACGCTTGTTTATCTATATCGCCATAACGTATCTGATAAGAGCCTTTTTGATATTGTTCGGGATAATCCGTCCGATTTAACTGTCCTGCATCTGCTTTAGCATCATCGCTTTCCGATGAAGAACCAAGTGAAACCTCGGGATATTCTGGCTTTTGAAACAAGATTCTGTTTCCATCTGATACACTTTGCTGTACCTTGTTTAGATATTCTGGCTTTCGATAAACGGTCTGCTTTCCTGATAAGCTTTGCTCCCCCTTGGTTGGCGTATAAACGAATTTCTGATCCGCATTATCATTTTCGACTGCATCCTTCTTTTGGGAATCGGTAACGAAGACCCTACCGAGCGACGCTTGTTTATCTATATCGCCATAACGTATCTGATAAGACGCTTCTTCATGTTGTTCGG